GAGGTTTGGTAAAATTCGAATGTTCATAAGGCATTTTCCCTCAGAGCGGCAGATTACTCCATGGGTATTTGTTTTAGATGCAACTATACGTGCTTAGTGGATGTCCGTGTTGCATACTCACGTATATGAAGGCACCCAGTCCTTGCTTGCGCGCGCCACATGGGATCTCACTATGCTGCTTTATCAAGACAGAAATCAGACTCCAAAAAGACCGGGGCATCGTTTGAGGAGGGCAGTGGGAGAAGTTTTTTCCCTCTGCACTTTAACTTTGACCTTGTTTTGGGTTAATTTTAGTAAATTTTAATTCATTTTAGGGAATTTTAGGAATTCCTTCAAGTTTTACCTCCACCCAAATTTTGCCTAACCCGAGCAACCTTTGGATAGTTCTTCGATCTGGTCGTAATAACACTCCTAGAAAAGACTTTGAAAGCGCTGATGAAATTTTTGAGTCTCTCAAAACGAGGGGCTGCTTGTAAGCGGTGCCGCCACGCTCATAACCCCAGAAAAAAGATATCTCGACAATAACTTAAAAAATCTTTTAAAGAATACGTGCTTTGCTCTCTAACGGTCCATTAGACCGTGAAAAATCACAATTCATGACGTTACGGAGTTGCCAAATGTTCACTATGCTTTGCTGGCGAGTCTGCTTCAAGAGAGCCCTTTTCATTTCTCCCAAAACGTCTGAGCTTGACTGCACCACTTTTTAGCCAACTATCTCAGCTTAAAATTTAAGCCCTAAATCAGTAAATTAAAATTTAATGAAACAAAGTAGTTAAGGGCCCAAAACTAATCAATTAAATACGATTAAACATTAATTTCTCTTGCAAAGGTGAGTCAAGCTGTTACCTTCATTGTGGATCAAAATAATTTTTGCAAGAAACGACAGCAGCGTGTATAATACTCATATGTGACTGCGTTCTTAAGTATCAAGATTGGGTCGAACTTATTTCATATTTTTAAAGTTTAAATTTACTGGAGTTAGATTTCACCTGCTAAGCTGTGTACAATAATTAGCAAAAAGTTGCAATTCAAGCTATGAACGACCTCGCAATATCCACCTATATTGAAATGGAACCTATGCATATGTATGGATATGTACTATTCCTGAGGTTACTAGTAAATTCACGAATAAATTTCTTAATGTCAATCAGTGGTGATTATAAGTCAGTGTGAGGTGTGTGACCGCACAAGATATTGTGAACTAAAGTCGAGTATTTTTCATTCTCGACCTTATCAGCGGTAAGTCTTGCTTGTGAGTATACGGATGTCTACGTGGCGCACGTATGGAAAGACTGGGCGCCTTCTAATACGTGAGTATGCAACACGGGCATCCTTTAGACACGAATAGTTGCATCCAAGACTAAGAGCCATGGAATGCTCCTAATTGATCTTAGAGGTCCCATTTCTTTGAAAGTGAACAACATGAACATTTAAATTATGGTTGTCTGAAAGTCTCAATAAGGTGTATTTATAAAAACTAGCGAGGAAAAGGAACTTGGTAAAAATTCGTTTAATTAAAGTAAGTTATAGTCATTGGATTCGCATGTTTCTGTGCTCTTTTAGATTAAATTCATTTTCACATAGTTCCTCTCCGCATAAATATGTCAATAAAAGATAGTTCACGACAAGGGTTTCAAAAGAGGGAAAAAGAAATAAATATGCAGTCCAAACTGTAAATTTCACTGATAATGGGGACAATTTACTTACTGTAGGTGACAGCCTACGGGAAAATGAACTGAGTTATAGAAACACTGAAAATTCGTTTGTCTCAGGACTAGGCCGAAAAATCATAACTACATTCAAAAGTTGAAAATTTCCCCTCTTAAATAGTTTTTTTTTTACTAAAAAACTGCTGAGAATTCATACTGAGAATATCATCTTTTATTCTTTTGATCACACTTACAAATCAGCAAAATTTTGGACAAAAATCACATTTATTTTTCAATTGGTCAAAAATTAAATATTTGAGTCAATTTTGCTCTTTTGGTATAAAAGGAATTCTTTCGTATAGGAAATGAACAATTAAGGAATTATTACTTCTCCCATTGTTCCGATAGGAAAATTTTAAGAACAATTAAATGCCAAAAAGCGCCTAAAAAGTTCGAATCGAATCAGAGTCATGATGGATTGCGAAGATCGCAATTTCAAAAAAAAAAGAAAAAAAGAGAAAGAAGAACCATGGGTTGGCTCCAACGCACAGACGTTCTTTTTCGACAATACAGAACGAAATGAATCACTGAAGGATACGCGACTAACCTAGATCCAATGATATCAGCTCTTTTGACAGGATATTCTATCATTAAGTAATGTATAGGGTTCATGTTATGTAGTGAATGGGTACTTCGTACACACAGAGCTTCGAGCAAACATTTTTGAACGAGAACTGGAATTTGACATGGAGGCGTTATTAAGTTGAACATGCAGTTTCTCGAGGAAATAATACATTTTGTCAAAGAAAAGCGTACCATGATTGCATGAAGTGCTACAGACCAAAGAAAGACATAAGCAATAAGAAAAAAAAATAATGAGAATATAAAATATTTTCCCGCCGCAAAAAAGGTAGCCTACGCGTGGCGTGATGAACGCTCAAAAAATTTCCCGTGGTTTTACACTGGAAAAAAACCCGTTATCGAATACAAGCATCCTAAGTCGCACTAAATATATAAATCGCAGTCAAAGCAGTTTGGCTAATTGAAGTTGGCTTGTAGAATGAATCCGGCTTTTAATTGGATAAATCGTCTTTTACTTCATTTTTTCCGGGATAACGTTTGAAGCAACTAAAATGTCAAATCGTCTCCTTTTTTATGTGAAGTTGAATGAAATCAAATCAACCCTTTTACAGTGTGAAATAGAGCAATTCAAAATTGATATCTGCCGTACGCCGGACTAAAAATTATTCGATTGCAATGCATTTTTGTGCATCCATCGGCAAAAAAGTTTACTGAACCGATCACAACTTATTTTATTAAATATCGACGAGAGCTTCCCATGAAGAATTCGAGGACTGATCGTGCGACCAAACTTCACTAAAAAATATCTAGACTTCTCTCAAAAATTCGATTTTATGCACCGAGTCCTTTACTCGTGAGTAGTCACATAACAAAATTACACATGCCTCCATTAGCGTATCCAACAAATTGGCAACATTGTTTTTCCCCATTTAAACCTATGGAAATGTTTAGATTTTTTAGAGGGCTAGGTGCTCCGACAAGAATCGATTATTTAAGAAATGGAGGAAATTCGGTGTTGCCAAATTGCTAAATCCGCCTCCGCGTGCCTTTGAGGTATTCGACGTCATGACCAAACAGCTTGTCGGTATGACCATGTTAACAGGATGACGGAGGAAAGGCTGCCGAAGAAGATGCCAGATTGGGTTCCTTCTGGGCGGAGACGAATGGGACGTCCAGTGAAAGGATGGCGATAGGGGGTTTTAGAGGAAATGAGGAAGTGCCAACTCCCTGAAAGGCTTTGGAAGAATAGGGGGCTTTGGTGGCTAGGTGTCGCAAAGCGCCAGAAAGCTCTGTGAAAGCGGCCTTTATGTTCGTACTTATGACTCAAATGATCGAGCTTTTTTCTCAGTGCAGGGTATTTTTGCTAAAGAAATGCGTCCAGCTCAGATAAGGGCCCTCATCGTTGAATGTTGCAAGTGTTCAAGAAATAATTTAAACGGACGCTAGCTAATCGAAATAATAACATGGAATTAATTTCACCGCAATTTGTCCATTTTACCTCGTCTCAACTTTAAAGATGTGAACACGGTAGAATACAAAGTAATAACAGCGAGCACGTGAGAATTATTGTTATGCTCTCTTCAGGAGGTTGGCATCAAAGCAGCTCAGGTTATTTTTGTGATAGCCCAAGCTTGAGGGGGTAAAGAATGGCACTTCATTCGCAACAGGTTAGCCGTGCAACTTATTCATGAATTAAACGAGGTCTGATGAAAAATGCAGACACTCTTTTCACGAGATCCCGGCCATTTGTTTGCTCTCCAGCAGGAACGTTCTCCTCTTAAATGCATTTAAGGTTTCATTTTATGCGTCATCTGAAGAGCGCAAATGAAGTTTCACGCCATTACCCGACGAGCGCTTCTTGGCAGACGTAGCGGACGAGATGGCTTTAATTTTCTACGCCACCCCCCCCCCCCCCCCCCCCNAACCCCCGGGTGAGCGGAGGAATAGTATTTTTATGCATTTCCAGAATATTGTAAGAATATATACTCCCACTTCAGCAGTTATTCCATTGATGATCACCTGGTTTTTACTTTCAAAAGTGGCATGTTACGAAATAATCGTATAATTTGAGGAGCTTTCCGGATAATCGCTTTTTCTGTTTTCAATGTTTTATTAAAAAATTAATCTAATACATTCAGTTTTGTAATCAAGCTGTATATTTTCCAAAAAAGCATCACTCTAAAACACCAAATTAGATCATAAATGATCGCAAGAAATCACCTAATATTACTTGATAGTTACATCAAACGGTATGCTCTCGGTTCTGGGGTCGGTTCATGCAACCAAGGCTATTTCATAATTTGATTTGCGCGGTTTTACGAAGCGAAGATGCATTTCCTGGAACTGAGGGTACGTTCACATGAACCGAAGAGTATACGGCCGATATACTGCCGTGCTAAGGAAGAGCGCCGTATGAACATTCGAGAGTTGCCAAATTTTCTTCGATAAAATGTTTATTTTTGAGGAAAATTATAAATATTTTTTCTTGACATTTTTAGGAACTTTAGGTGAACTTGCGAACAAATCTGTCTTAGAAAAATTGGAAGGAAAATATTCATAAGTTTACCAGAAAATTTGTGTTTTATCAAAGGAAATTTGGCAACGCCTGAAGGCTTATACGGCGTTTTTCCTTACCATAAAACACAGCAGAAAACGTCATGGAAGTGCAAATATCGGAATGGGAGGTGACCGTAATGTGAATCCCCCACTCTTCCCTCTCCACAATACGCTTAAAATGTTTGATATAATATCTTCTTACTTTAATGGACAGCAAGTCTCTTCACTGGATGAGGTGGAGGAACCACTGTTCGTATTTGTCTGATGGCGATAGTCCGGAATCCGATACTGACAGAATTCTCCCGCCATTGATCGCTTCTGCCGGCTGCTCAAGGCTCAGAGTTTCCTGCAAAGAGCAAAAGACACACCCTTGAGTACTCATCTAGAAATTCGATATTTCTTTGATCGCCGCGCGCCGTGAATACGGCTACGACTGACACAGAAAATATTAGAAGCGCATTTTCCTGGCATCGTGCTATCGGATGATCTTAAGACGAGCCAATGAATGTCATCTAGCAGAGTGAGAATGGACCGCTAGACAGGGTACGAATTTAAGGACACAATTTCTATAAACATGCTCTACATATACTAAATTTTAAACGTTAGGACTTCGGGAGTTTAATAGAACTCTTACTGGAAATTCCCCGCCTACCTTTCTTTTCCTCACCCCTGGAGCAGAGCCCCCCTTCATTGTGGATGGGCTTCCTACTCGAGGGAAGTTGGTTCTCTGCGTGTTCAAGTTGAGGTTCCACCATCCGCCCTCGGTGAAATGGGCAGGTACACAAAATCATTAATATTCTAAAGTAAATAATGGGATTTAATAATGTTATCAACCACCAATGTTATAATAATAAAAACATTTCAATAAAGACTCGTCACCACTTTTTTCCATGATAGTAGAACTGGGCAATATTCAAACGAGAGGAACCAAACTAAATTATGAGCAAAAAATAAGTAAGGTGGTCATAAGTTCAATTAGCCGCGCGTCCCTGGTAAAAATTGGCGATAGGAGCTGCATTTCAAAATACCATAGGAGTTCTTATAGCCGACTGAAGAGGGCGATAGAAAATCATATAGCTGGCTGTAGAAAGTGGAAAAAATCATACGGCCGGGCTACACGAAGCGATAAAAAATTAAACAGCCGCACAGTGCGTTGAATGGTGACAAAAATCCCCCTAAAAATAAATGTCGAAATTTTCCAAAAATTATGTGGTGAACGTTAAGTGGTATATCTGGCAACACTATTGTCAGCGATAGTATCGATTTTTATCGATACATAGTGCCCGCACAGGTGGTCCATATCAGCCAGTTCTGAGCTCCTGATTAGAAGCCGATTGCAGATGACAACAATGAGGAGCATTCTGATCAACAGGCTTCAGTGCCATTCTATCCTTCCTGGAAGCTTCATTCCTACTGGTAAGCACTTTCTATTTTTGATTTTTCCAATTTTTAAATCCTTTTTTTTGTGGCGAATATTGCATTTTGAAATACTGCTCATTTTTAACAGTTTTT